CTTTACTAAGATAGATCTAAAGTCCGGATACCATCAAATTGCTATTAGACCTGAGGATCGACACAAAACCGCATTTCAGACTAGGTATGGTATGTACAAGTTTGTGGTCATGCCCTTTGGCTTATGCAATCCCCCTGGTACGTTCCAGCACGCAATGAATAGGATTTTTCATGATTACTTAGATAAGTTTATCGTCGTGTACCTCGATGATATCCTCATCTTTAGTAACACTGCAGAGGAGCACGCTGAGCACCTGAATACAGTGCTAGGTCTCCTAAGACAGCACCAATACAAGATTAACTTGGAGAAATGCGAGTTTGGTCGCACCAAGATCTTGTACCTGGGTCATGAGATTTCAGCAGATGGGTTGAGGCCGAAAGATGCAAAGGTGGCCAGCATATGTGACTGGCCTAGACCTCAAACTGTTACTGAGGTCAGATCGTTCTTGGGAGTGACAGGCTATTATCGTCCTTTCATCAAAAACTATAGTGCGCTAGCCTCCCCATTAATAGATCTAACTCGACTTGACACCCCTTGGGAGTGGACTGAAGAGTGTGAGGCAAACTTCAAGAAAGCTCTAACACACTATGAAGTTCTCAAGCTTCCATATCCTAGCAAGCCGTTTGTTGTGACCACAGACGCCACCCAATATGGCATAGGCGCGGTCCTTGCGCAACAGGAGGGGCCAAAGTTGAGACCGGTCGAGTACATGAGTAAAAAGATGCCTTCTCAGAAGTTAGCGAGGTCCACATATGAGAGAGAGTTATACGCCCTGTACAGAGCGCTAGTTCATTGGAGACACTACCTCCTAGGAAGATTCTTCTATGTGAGGTCTGACCATGAGACTTTGCGTTGGATTAAAACACAGCCTGTACTATCTGACGCACTCAAAAGATGGATTCAAGTGATAGACATGTATGACTATCAACTTGATCCATTCAAGGGTACGTATAACAAAGTGGCTGATGCACTATCACGAAGGGCGGACTATTTGGGCGCGCTAGTCACCGAGTTCGGCATATCTGACGAACTCACTCGATCGTTGGTGGAAGCCTATCAGGGAGATCCAGTTATGTCAGAAATCATTCTTAGATTCCAAGCAAAGGACAAAAAGACTTTGGACGAATTTACGATGGTAGATGGCTTGTTGTTTCTCGAGAAGGCAGGGAATAAAAGACTATGTGTTGCTAATAGTGAGTCTTTGCGTAGTTTATTTTTAGGAGAATGTCATAATGCAACTGGTCATTTTGGCTATAGGAAGACATCAGCGAACTTAGTGCAGAGATTCTGGTGGCCTTCCATGATGGAAGATGCGAAACGCTATGTTGAAGCCTTCCAGGTTTGTCAAAGGGACAAACCAAGGACTCAGGCTCCACTTGGGCTGATCAAGCCCTTGCCTATCCCTGAAGGACCAGGCCAAAGTGTGTCCATGGATTTCATGGATACCCTGGTGACCAGCAGGTCTGGAAAAAGACACATCTTTGTCAAAGTGGATCGCTTTACTAAGTATGCAAGACTAATCGCTATGCCTGAAGCTGCTAAAACTGACTTTGTCATCAAACTCTTCATGGAAGGGATTTTGGTCTACCTACGTCTATTGTTAGTGATAGGGATGTAAGATTCATGAGCGAACTGTGGCAGTCTACTGCTGAACAAATGGGCACAAAACTCCAAATGACTTCAGGGAATCATCCTGAGTCAAATGGTCAAGCGGAACAGATGAACCGAGTAGTACAGCACCTGCTTAGGCACTATATCAAGCCAAGTCAGGACGACTGGGACGAGAAACTACCTCTCGTTGCCAGCCTGTATAATAACGTTGTGCATAGTACTATAGGCATGACTCCCAACCAACTGCATTTTGGTTGGAAGCCGTGAACCGCCCTTGACTTTCTGCTACCAGAAAGAGAACCCACTGCAGCACCCGGCAGCATAGAGTTTGCTGTCAAGTATGAACAGATGCGGCAGCAGGCCGTTGAACATATCAAGAAATCTCAGGTAGCAATGATTGCATCTGAGAATAAGCATAGACGGCCTTCTAACTTTCAAGTAGGCGAGAGTCTGGATTAAGTCCGTTGACCTTGGTCAGGAGTTAGGCATATCCCGCAAGCTAATGCCACAGTACTTTGGGCCTTGGGAGATCTCAGATATTGTAGGAGATCAACCAGACGGTCCTTCATATGTAATCCGCATCCCACCTCACTTACTTACCTACCCTGTGTTCCATGCCTCCAAAGTTAGCACCTTTTGCTGCCACTGAGCAGTTTCCCTCCAGAAGATCAATGCTGCCCCCAACCATGGATGGCGAAGTGGACGTGGACCAGATCGTTGATCATCGAGTGATGCCTGTTCCTCGACCATCAGGCAGAGGGCTCCCTCCTAAACCGAGAATGCAGTATCGTGTGAGCTTCATACATCATCTGGATCCTAAGGAGGATCGCTGGTTCACACAAGAAGAACTCATGAGAACAGCACCTCAAGTGATTGCAGGCTACGAAAGAGCACTCAAGGGGAAGATGCCTGCAGAATAAGAGACTTCTCAGAGGA